ATTTGGCTGAGATTTGCCTCGAAATTAGTGTCAGAAATACAATTAACGTATGGTTTGTGTGTTTAATAGTTATCCAAATATATAAGTAGACAATGGATTGAAACATATTTTATAATCTAATTATTTCTTTAACAAAACAACTAAAACAATAATTAATTAAACAAATTATATAAACATTTTCTTTGAGTATATTTTTTCACTTTAATTGCAAATAATTTGAAGATTTATTTTTCGTTCACAAATCGTCGGAATATTATTTAACAATATTTTTTGGTAAATAAGAAATTTTGAATAAATTATTTAAATAGAAGTAATTTTTCTATAATTATTTGAAAAACAAAAACAATTTTTAAAATTTTAATTAATTAAAAGCAATTTTTCAGAAAAAAATAAAACATTTAAAACGGATTTTCGGTCACAAAATCAATAAAACTGGTCTTTTAAAGCCATTTATTAATTGAAATCAATTCAAAATCAAATCTTCAATTTAAATGCAATCAAAACATCACTAAATCAATTGAAATGATGGCAATTATCTATAATAAATAGACGAAACAGAGAAAATAGAGATCAAAAAAGTAATAATAAATATAACTTTTGTGTCTATTTTATAAATAAAATTATAACAACAAAAAACAATAATCAAAACAAATTTTTAAAAAACTAATTACTACTCGTTATTACTGGCGTTAAATGAATTAATATCTCTGACACTAAACACACGGCAAAACTCGGCGACAAATATAATAAATTAAAAATATAGATAAATATTTTCAACATTTTCTTTGAAGGGGACGGAAGGGGAGGAAATGGAGGGAAAGGGAAGCAATCGATGGGCGGACGGGGGTGTGTGTGTGTGTGGGCACACATCAAGAGGGCGGCACAAACGTGATGGGTATCAGAATGGGAACCATATGACAGTCGCCGGCGTTACCTTTCTTGGCGTTCACGCCGTTAGCATCCACTGTGACGCAGGCGGCAGCGGCGGCGGCCGCGCTCTCGGCCACACCGTTCAGCGAATGGGTGTTTGAGTTGCCGCCTGAGGCCGAGCCCACCACACCGTTACCGCCGCCGCTGTGCAGTATCTGCGCGCCATTCTTGTGGCCCCTATTGGTCGAGTCGATGATTTCGCGTATTTTGTACTCCCGGTAGTGTAACCGCTGCTCCAGTAGTGTTCCCGGCGGCGCCTGTTCTGACAGCAACTTTTGCTGATAGTGTAGCCATAGTTCCTGTTGTTTCTGATAGCCTTGTAGTTCTTCTAATGTCTTCTGGAGAGTACTGTATGTATAGATATCAACGGCAAAACAAATTATGGATTAGATATCGAGAAAAACAAGTATTAGTATAAGTGGGCAGTAGTGGGTGTGGGTGTGGGGGTGTGGATAGGGATGGGTAGGAGTACTAACTCGTGCTGTGCTTTGAGGGCCTTCTCGACCCGGTTATGGCAGAGGACGGCGTATTTCCTGAGCTTCGCCTCTTCGAACTCCGGATCCAATTTCAATACGTTATCAAAACAAATGACTGATTTGTTATAGTCCGCCATCACCTGCGATAAGACAATACGAGAACCATTAGGATATAATTACAACAAAAATACTGTATTATAAACACATAACAGATTCAATTATCAGTGCATACATTGGACACAAAAACATTATCAACAAAAGCACATTAAGAGGACTCCTCTTTAGATAAAGAACAAAATACAAATAACTGACAAATAGATATCAAATTACAGACAATTCACACAGACTTTACGTAAACAAAATGCTAAACCAAAGCCAAAACATGCAAAACAGGCAAAACTAATCATTCAATTACTGCATAGATATTGCCGAGAGTGTAGTGAGAAATGGTGGCGTCCGGCGCCACATCGATGGCCGCGTGTATGACAATCGCCGCCTCTTCGGAGCTCTTACTCCGGTGCAGAACATTACCCAATGATACCAACGGTATGTGTCGGTACTGATAGGGCGTCAGGTGAATGGCCCGCCGGAGGCACTCTATCGACTCGCCGGCGTTGCCGACGGCGCGCCAGTAAAACGAGGCCATTGTGTACAACAGCCACGAACTCGAGTTCTGTGGATGACATGAGAACACATGTATTAATATCATTAGTCATTGTGGAGATCATTGATTATACAGTAATAACTAAAGCCTTTCATATCGTGCAAATGCATGTTTTTACCGGTTAGTTATATATGTTTGGGACTTTGGGGGCAAACGAACCACATAATAAGGAGTGTTTTGAAAAACTTTTATTTTGCATATAAATGCATATTTGGCTCATAAATGCATATAACTGCATATTTGGTCTAAAAGCATTAAAAATCATTGATTTACTTGAAAATAATAACTAAAATTTCTAATCTATTAGAAAATTTACAATTATTTAAAATTGATTGCATAATTGGACCAAATATTAAGTCATTAAACAAATATCTACCTGATTAACATTGTATATTAGTGTTAAAATATTACCTATTGTAGTTCTAGCAATTATTACAGCATTTAAAAATAAACCATATATTTTTAATTTATATTTAATTTGTAATTTAAAATATATAAATGAGTTTTTAAGGCCTAATGACCATTTTCATCATAAAATTTTGTCATTTTGCTTATAAACTATATTAAATAATATTAATATCGTATATTAACAGAATTATAAGTGCATATTTGAGTGCATATTTGGCCACTTTTTAGTGCATATTATATGACATATTTGAGTACTTATAAATGCATATTTTGAAAGGCTTTAGTAATAACAATGTAATTAATCTCGTATTCATTGCAAAACAACTAATGCTTCAAAAATTATTGACAATTAAAAAAATATGAGACGAGAAATAAGTACTGAAATTGCAGTAAAAAAAGTTATTTTTAAACAACAAAAAGAGATGTAATAAACACTTGACATGAAATTGTCGTGAAATATGAGATTTGTGTTCAGAAAACACATAACAGTTAATGCAATGCAATGAGAAAAACGAGAGATAATTATATGATTTATTAATAGACACATAACGCGGATGTCATTTGCGTTTAAATTACTTGTTTGAGCGCCTCATAGACAGCGTCGCCGTAGTCTCCGATGTCCTCTAAGTTGGTTATAGTGGTGTGGATTTCACTCTCCGGATCTATTTGTAGTGATCGTCGGTCGCGAACAGACTATTGGGACACAAAAAATTACACATTAATACGCCATAGGATTAACATAACAACAACAAAACACTTGAAAAATACCGGCAAATGCTCGAACGAAGACATACTGAAATCCATTGGCATTATTTGACTACAGTTTGGTTCGTGTTTTTCAGGCCTCGAATCAATCGCTACTATATTTACAAAATTATTTCCACTAAAAAAACAAATCAAACAAATCATTAATAAATACATTTCATAAGAAAATCGGGATTAAAAAATCAATATTAAAAATTACTTCAATCTCTCGATCGTATTGTCATTATTATTACTATTTATGTTATTATTATTATTTAAATTATAATAATTGACGACATTATCATCATTTGGTATATAGAAGAGCATCGATCCGACGTATAGATCAAACTGTGTCAACGGCTTCCCGGCCTCCGCGCAGTTGGCGTTTGTCGCGTACACCAACTGTTCCACGTCTTCCTCCGATTCATCTATCAATCATTGGTTACATTCATTCAGACATTAATTCATTGCATCAATAATCAAGTCATTAGTTATGAAAATTATGAAAGTTATGATTTTCATAACTCAATCATTAGTTATAATTAGTTATCAAAAATTCATTAGTTATAAGAAGAAAGATAACAATTCGTTAATGAAAACCAATTAAAAAAGTTATTTTTAAATAAAACTGATCATTAAATGAAATAAAAAGCAAAAAACAAATTAAAACATTAATTAAACGCTAAAAATAAAAAAATTAATATTAAAATAAAAGCCAAAACTCAACGAAATAATTAACGCAAATATTTATCTAACACTTCAATTGAATATAAAACTCAAATAAAAATGCAAAACATATATTTAAGGCACAAAATCACTGTCAGTATAGTATTGTAAGCAACAAAACAAATATTATTAAAAAAAACAAATGTCATTACAAACAACAGAAAAAAACTTTACATTAAAAAATCAATACTGAAATGAAAGACACAAAACATTTGACACAAAAAACAGGCAAATGAATGACAACAAGAGTTGGTGACGACAACAACGACAACAGACACTAACCATTGTTTGCGGTGGAGTCGGACTCGATCTCCTCCTTCTGTTGGATCAGTTGGTTCTTAATGGCGGCCAACTTATCGGCCCTCTTCTCCTGATGCAAGAGTGACATCAGATCGTATGGACGTCTCAATTGAAACATCTGATTGACAGTCTTCTCGAGATTGAGCGCCGCCTGCATGGCGTCGATACCCGAACCCCAATCGTCGAGCGACGGCTTCTCCACACTCTGGAGGACAATCCTTCCGCCCCTTTTGTTCTGGTACTTCATGAGACGGGAGGCGTGGGTGCGCTCCTCATCCGACTGTTTGGCGAAGAACTTGTAGAAGCCGGGCAGCGCCACATCATCTCGGTCGAAGTAGTAGGCCATCGACAGGTAGCAGTAGGAGGCGTACAGTTCCAGATTGATCTGTTTGTTGATACAGGCCTCCACTTCGGCCGCGAAGTTTTGTCGTGGTTGAGACGATGCCATCGTTTAATGCTAGTGGTAGTTGTTTGTATGGATCAGCTCTGGTGATAGTGGCGTAGAGTTTGCGTTGGTATCGGCTCCCGCGGTCTGACTTTTAGGCGCCCGAACAATGGTTAACGATATGATATATGTATATAAGTGTTGGTTCAAACACTGTCGACGCACAACACCCTTATGTGTGAACTGAATGTGAAGTGAAAACACAAAGTAATGTTACAATTGAGTGCGGATTTCAATTGCGTTTATTGTGTAAACATTTAACGTTAATCTTTATGTTTTTGCCTTTAATTTCATTCAATGTCGTATAAAGTGTTACGAAAAAGTGCTACATTACTGAGCCCTATGTGTGGATACGTATATTTTTACATTACTGCAGTTTTCTACCCTTTCAAACGGCATACATGCTATTTATGGATTTAATTAATGTTGGATTTTTACTATGAGAATCTGAGTCGACGATCTAGCACTATTTGTATTAAGCATGATTTAGTTTGTTCAAATAGAATAATATTCTTTATAAAACGGCCAAATACTTATTTCTAGCTAATATTTGATATCCATTCGTACATTACTTGCATAAAGTATGATAGAATATTTTGTCCCTGTTTAACTTATCATGGTGTGTTGTAATTATACAGAATTTGTAGAGAATATTTAAAGAATATGTTATTATTTGTAGAATATTACAAATATTTACATATTTTATTGATTTATATATTGATTCATAAGAATTACTACCTATTTATACAGTTGTATAATAATATCGATTATTTTTTGTAATGACAATATTAATATTTAATATTTTTTATCAATATTACTAGCATTCAGGTTAGTTAAATGTGTGCAATCCTATTCTGCATTTTAATTAATATTTACCCAAATATTTTTGTTAATAATAAAGCTTTTATTTTATTTTTATATTAACCTAATTATTGTCAATAAAAACACAAATAATTATGCACGTAAAATGCAATATAATATGATATAATTATTATAAAATAGAAATATTCCACATAATAATTTGAAAAATCATCATCCGATAAATTCCGTTACCCTGGTAAAAATTGCAATGTAATTGTGATGCGATATATACCATACACTTGTACTGAATTTAATTGTGATATCAAACTGAAGAGAGCGCATACAGAATGAGATAATGAATGTGGAAATACTTATGTTATAAATCAAACAAATATTATAACAATTTTAATACAATTCTCACATGATTTTGATAACAATACGGCAAAAAACAATTAATTATTATCATGTTTACATAAAATGTCAATCGAGATGCACTAAATTGATCATGAACCTCAGATGTGGAATTGTCCCTCATATTCCCCTACTGTTCAATTGTATTATCTATAATTTGTATACCATATAAGTATAGTATTGCGAAAATTAATACAATTGTATATAACTTATAATAATAAATATCATTGATATTAAACATTTATTTTTGCAAATTTACATATAAATACAAAAATTACTGAATTTTCTAATTATAATAAACTATTTATTTATACAATAAATTCTCACAAAACTCAACACATTTTTCAAACAATGCATTATTCAATGAGAAATGAAATGCTATAATAAAAACATATCATAATTTGGATAATAATTATAACGATAACAAAAACTATACAAATGAATGCATTTTTAATTAAGGGAGAGAAGGGAAAAGTCTATATTATATTGCATTATATAATATAAACATACAATTATATAAACATTTCATGAATAGTGTATTTTAAAACCACGATGAAAAAAGTTCTATCAAAATAATCAATTTATTTTAAAGAAGCACATTTTCTTGGGATCAGATAACGTGGTGAACATTAGACTCATTACACCAGCGAAAAAAGTTGGCAAATATAACAAACTTTTGAGGGTGGTTCACAAAAGTAAGGATACTGTATGAGTTAGAACTATTTGAACTATTTATGATCTAACTATACTGAATACATATTATCTAGTATCAAACTTGGCTTAAAGTAATCTACTATGGTAATTTATTAATTATACGTAAAGATAGAATGTTCTCGCAGGTTTTGCATGTTGCGCAAAATTATTAATATAAAGTCATCAATGTACAATTCGCCAAATCATCATATTTTATTTTTGATAGTTTACTATCAATTAATATTGTTATTGTTGGAAAAATTCCATTGACTTTACATTGATTAGAACTTTTATTAACCTTTATCATTTCTAAACACATTCATTTATAATGTATCAATAATAACTATCAATAATAAATTATTATTATAAATAAAATGATCTAGCGTAATTAAAAATGATACATTATGTGAACGGTCCCACTGAATAAACACAACTAAATTAAAACTTATGTTACTCTCTAATCAAATCATGTTACATTTTGTTTATAATAATATTTATAAAAGTAATAAATAACTTATTGATGAAAATCGTGGTCTGTTTTCAATGATAATAATTTAATGCAATCGAAGGGAAATCCTAATTAAAACATGTTTTTAAAAATAAAACATTAATTAAACACAAAATACATGAATAGAACTTTAATTAAAAGTTATAATCAATAAAACGAGAAAAATATAATTATTTTAATAAAACACAAGGTCTTAATTAATAAATACAGGAAATTACTAGTAACAGAAATTACATAACCTAGGTAAAAATGCGACAAATATTTGCCAACATTCCATATGACATACATATCTATAATATTTGCTAACTAACAATATAATAAAAGTAGCATGATATTTAAAAATAGACAAATTATTACAACCCTGTTCAAAAACTAACCATGTGTACAGTATTTATCTAAACTAATTTATAACAAACCTAATTAATTTATAATAACTTTCCAAAAATGGTGTTAATGTAAATAAATGTCTAGACAAATGTTCCAAAATATAAAAAATATGCCCAAGTTCAAACATAACTTTTCTATACAGTATCTAAAAACTAAAATAACCTCGCTATTTTAAATAGCTTATTTAAATCATAATTTCCATGCTGTTAACAACAAATTAACATTTAAACTTTTAACTTATTAGTTTTTAGGAGATTAGTTGTTTTTTGGCAAAAAATGCTCATTATAAAAATGGGTTTTTAATCATTTGAACTAGATCGTAAGTTTTCGGCACAGAGTCATTATCCGGATCATTTGAATATGCGCTCTAATGTATTTGTGCTGTACTTAAAACAAATGCCTTTTTAGGCGAACCAAATTCATTTACGTTAACTCATAAACTCCTATATATATCACAATAAATTACGTCAATATATTTACGCTAAATAACTATCGAAACAAGTTTTAGATCTTTTTTAGAGTATCTCACATATGAATTGTCTATAAAATAAAGGCATAAAACTCGCACTTTGTATAAATCAGATATCACGTTATAATTCAAAAATATTATTTCACGTACTTTATTGATAAAAATAGCGTATTTTTGCGACACATAATACTTTACGACAAGCATTAATAACTTATGAGTTCGTAATACACGTACCGCGTTATGCAAGCGATTGAAAAACGTGTTAATTAACACCAATGTTAGTATCGAGAGATTTAGTACTATTTATCACAACAAATGTAAACACAATACACATAAACCAAGTTTAATATAAAAAGCACCAAAACATCGGTATTAGTACTTACAACAAATATATGCCAAATACATGTGAGTCATATGACAACAGACACACAGACATACAGTTATGGCATAACGTGTTATAGCGTGTGATTGTTATAGTATTTTAATATCGCAAATAAATACAGCGTTTAATGTATTGAATGCTTTGATTCAATACAAGCAGTGTTTGTGTGCTTTACTGTACGCGACAGTCGTGTGTACTGTATATGTGGTGTTGTGTGCGATATAAACACACTGTAAATATACTGTACTTTTATTACACAAACTAATTATATTGTGTGTAACGAATACAACACAACACACAACAAATCGAACGTTTGAATCGCGGACTCAAGAGTTATAGCAGTGATTGTAATAAAGCGGTGCATCAAAAGCGTGAGTCGACTGTAATTGTGATTACGATTACCACAACTGTTACCAAAACTACAGTCGATTTTTGGTATACAATCGGAAACAGCGATTGCGGACTCAAATTGTAACCCAAAACTGACAGCCAATAGGAGTGCAGTGTTTTCGGTAAACCATTTGTTATTGTTTTTGTTTCAGTCATTGTATTGTCTATTGTTTTGACCACTCATTCATTCATTCACTCATTTGTCTCTTCGTGTGGACACAGATCTAATCGTATGGACTATTGAGATGTGATTTAATACACCATTGAATACAACGATCACAACAACAACAACCATAACGACCGCTACTCCGGAAGAATATATAGATATCTATTACCACAAGTGTTGTGTCTATCCGTTAGTGAGTGTCCGCTCCGATCGGATCCCAAGAGAGACGAAGAGTCGGATGTGTTGTGTTGTCGTCGGCCGCGGATGAGAGACACACACAATGACAGCAACGATGAACGCCCGGACCAGTTGTGTCTGCCATCGTATCTATGGCTTCAATCGGCTGATCCTCTGGTATTTGGTGATCGTATTTCACGCCTCCCGAGCGGCCACTCATTGGGTGGTCACCGAAGACGGCAAACTCCAGACACAAGTACTGCCATTACTGGATCCGTTGTCTTAGCCCTCTTTTATCACTCATTTTAATCAGCGATCTCTCCCTCACTCATAGTCTCTCTATCTCTTAGTAACCATTAATTGAGACAATTATCTCAACCGTAGATCTAATCGTATTTATTATAGCAATGATTGCAATACTTTATATTTATTGTATGATTTAATTAAGCGTTTTTAGTGATTAGCAAAATGTGTTTTACAAGCGATTTATAAATTTGTAAATTTATTATCACTTGAAAAGCTCTGGTCTTCAGAAAAAAATATGCAGATTATTATGAACTTAGGTTTCTCTCGACATCTTATCAATTATATGAATACATTCTCTCTCTCTCTCTCTCTC